TTTATTACAGTTGTAATTGAAAGCTCTGAATTGTAATTCAGAGCTTCACTAAGTGATACTTGTAAATGAAACGTTGTTGGTTCGGTTGACATTACCGAGCTTTGGTATATCGCAAAATAATCAACCATGTAAATAAAATCGTTATTTTTCATATTGCCCGTAAGTTTTTATTATTCCAACGAGTGTCATTTTTCAGAGATGGAAAATTGACTACAACTGATGAAGACAGCATAAATGTGGCCGAATAACAATAGAAGCATTTCTTTCGACTCCTCAGCATACGCTTAACCCAGACACTGTTACGCTTTAAGTTTCAGTGCGATGTTTAGTCATGAAATCGTTGTCATATTTAGCCTAAGAAATGCCTAACAGAAGTAAATACCATCGAGACCGCGACAAGTATAATAGGGATTCTTATTGTTGAAGTAAAAACACTACTGGTGACCTGAGACACAGACGTGAGTAGCCGCTTGTTTGTAACAATAATAACATTTGTCTGTAACAAATAATTCAGTGGGACTTACCGCTGACTTGATGATCTAAGTCGCGCTTAGACGTAAGAAGCAAAACTCTTGCATTGTTGTTGAAAATAGTACCAGCAGCTGCTTCTTCAATGGGAGGCTCGATTGCAACATTGATTTCAAAATCACTATCATCATCAGATTCTTCCTGAAGTATTTGTCACACCTCGTCCAGGGTCAACCTGAAGAAAGAAACATCTAATAAGATTATTTCAATGTTTGAAAATATCACACAAGTCACTTCTTGCAATATAACCCATAACTCGTTACAATTATTTTTAGTTGCTGAAAATTTATTATAAGGCATATCTGAATTTACATATAAACGGGCCAATATTATCACGAATAGTTTTCTAAATATATATTTAGGGGCTACAGAATAGCAAACATCTGTTAACTTCTCATTATGATATTGTACGACACAACGGGAAAGCAATTAAAATAAATCTACGCACATCATATAAGAGGAAGTGCCACAACTTTCGTGTTGGGCGAAATCTTTATTTTATATCCTAATGGGCACATTTGTTCCCAAAATTTACATTTTACTATATGCATTCAATATTATCAACATTATTGATCATTTGTGATTTATATGTAATTGGTGCATTTTCCAGCTACAAATTCCAATCATTGGATGTAGTAAAATGTTTTCAGTAATTGAGGTACATACGTTTTTCTCAGGCGTGGTGGAGCCATGTTACATACACCTCTCTTTCGGTCAATCTCAGCCGGCTACTACGCATGAATGCCTGGTGGCAGAGAAACAAAACATGTTCCGTACGCGTTCTGAACCTTCAGAGAACACACCTTATTAACAGAAAATAGCTAAATGCAATATCTTTACTTTTACAGCCATTTTTATTAGCTGGGCACAAATGTTCCCGTTCGGCGTTAATGGGTTAACAAGTAACAACTAACATGTTGACACTAGTAACAGGCTGAGGTTGACAGCTTTTAAGCATTACACCGAAATCTTTCGTACCTACAGTTTTATTCTGTAATTTATATTATGTATGTATCATGCTGGTTTTTAAAATAATATTTAATACTATTGAGTAAAATCTAAAGACTTTATAGTTTATCTATAAATGTAACAGTAGCGCTGTAGCGGCAAGACCTCGTATCGCTACTTGAATATGTAGCGGGCGCCGGGCGCTACCGCTACATTGCCTTAGATGTAGCACCGCTACCACTACTGAAAATGTAGCAGCTGCTACATGCAGCACGCTAATGCCCACCGGCCGGGCCACCTCTGTCAGTCTGTCTATGGTATTCAAGTTCATAGGAGACTTAGGAGTAGGACTCATGATATTGATAGGAGGGCCCAGGCCCCAGGGTTCTTGACTCTCCAGTAAACTGAGTAAAGCCTGGGGGCTGGGATTGCCACTCTAAGTCTCTAACCAACTTCATCATTTATGAAATTCAGAATCTCAGTTTATATATTGCTAACTTTGTAAGTTTCTTATCGTCGAGCGTCAATGTGTTAACTGGCTTCTGAAAAAAATATAAACCTTACTTCTTCTCAATATAAGAGAAAGAAATGCTTGCCAATTGCCATCAGTACAAAATTTAGCAGAAGAATAGAAGTTAAGATGTAACAGTTCCACATATTTCAATCTAGGATTCAACCCTAAATTTATATGCAGTTCAGCAGTTGGTTACCTAGTCTGCTAATCATATTGCCAGTTGACACCAAGACCAACTTCTACTGCAAAAAACTTAAAAGACTTGCATTTTCTTTATCTTGTGTTAAATTATATATAAATGCACTCAAACCATTTGCATTTTATAAAACAGTCATGTCTAAGTGATGTAGAATTGAGTTATGCAAGATAATCTTGTCCAATCAATGCCTACTAAATATTATTAGGTGCTAATACATATTTTATTTGCTCCCAGGTTTTTTACTCAGGATTGTTAAGAATGTATGCTCCAGGGAGATTAACAAAAAAATTACTTCTAATTAAAAATAAATTGAATCTCATGAACAACAATGAATTTTGCAGAAGAATTTCTATAACTTTGTTTCAATCATCATTTCATGCTCCTGGTGAGTAAACTGAAGCTGATACATTTAGTTTTATATTTAAATTGAATGAAAATAAATGTTCCAATATTAAATTTTTTCACATGTATTTGAAATTTGTTCATCAATATTTTATATCATAATATGTTATCACTATGGTATTGAAATTATATTGAGATAATTACTTGTGAAGTTGTGAGTGAATCATGAGTATTGAGTAAATGCTGGAAATGCCACCATCACTCACATGCTTGTGGTTGCACAGCAGCCACATTTGGCTCTATTCTCTTACCAAATGGACCCAAAATAAAATGTGTGAATGACTGAAAAATAAGAAAAGGTAGTGGTTGGAAATTTTCCCAAATCATGTTGTTATATACCTATGTTTTATCAATACTAGGTGCTGTGGGATAGATATGGTACCACTTCATTACATTCAATTTTACCCCCAAAAAATGTAGTTGTAATTTTTACGTTTGATTTTGGCAAATGAGGATGTGTGCAATATGAAACTAAATCTCAATACTTTCTACTTAGGTTTTACATGTTGATCTCTACTGATAAGATATTATTTATTCCAGAGGCTGTGGGCTATCATGAGAGGAACTTGTTGTTTCAGCTAAATGCCTCATCTCTTACTCAGTAAGCATTCTCTTTGATCTTTTCTAAATTACCACAATTTGTATAGGTTGTAAAACTTTTAATTGGTATCATTTAATTTAGCCACCTTTACTTTCCTATATATATTCTAGGTAAATTCCCTTAAGATTGGTAATTGATAATAGGTACGGTACTCATCAATAGTGCATTGCTTTTTATAAATGTTCTAGATTACATTGCCACTTCGCTACATGCTTGAAATTTTTTTTCGTTTTTAAGATATTATGCATGTCATATTGTGAAATCATTCCTGAACCATCCCTTTAGGTTGCTGTTATATGTATACAGTATTTTATGATTCTTTTTGTGATTAATCAATTGATGTATTAATATATTTGTTACCCTCAGAAATGAGGATTCAACAACAGAACCTTCAAAAAGACCAGACCCCAAAACTACAAGTATCCTGCTCTTCCCCAACCAAGGCTCTCAATATGTGGGTGAGTTACTGGTGTGCATGCTCTATGGCTGGCATGCCACTTGTCTATTATTTATAACTAAGTGCTCTATAGCTGGCATGCCACTTGTCTATCATTTATAACTAAGTCTTTAAGAGTGTATTCCAGCAAAGCATGCTTGGGGCTGGTGCTCTTGTTCTGTGTGAATTAAGATAAAAGAGCTGCTCCTATTTCAGGAAGAGAGCAGCTCTCTGTGTTGTTAGATGTGAATAAAAAGCTTTTCATTTTAAATATCATTTGCCAAGTGTTTTCAGGCTAAATTGTGAAATCAATTTCAAGGTGTATGGTTTCTCTGATTAAAATCTGACACCCACCACTAGAAAGCTACACAGTATAAATAATTTTTCAAGATATAGTTTCTCCGGTTCATTGCTTGTCTTTGCCTCAGAAGAATAGCAGCATTATAAGAGTATACTTGTGTTTCATGTGCAACCGAAACACATTTGGAAAGCAGTATATTCACCATACCACTGAAAAGGTGAAATATGAATGTTTATCCTTATTCTTAGCTTGTGTTGTTCATGCAGGGATGGCCGTACCTGTGTTGGGAGTTCCTTCTGTCCAACAAATGTATGAGGAAGCCTCAGAAGTCCTGGGGTTTGATTTGCTTGAGGTTAGCCTTCATGGGCCCAAGGAGAAGCTGGACGAACCTCAAGTTGCCCACCCAGCTGTATTAGTTGCCTCTTTGGCCGCTGCCCAAAAGTAAGTTGCTTGCTGTTTCTTTTTTGTTCAGCATTTTCTTTTAATTAGCTCATCAAGCATATATTTTTCATGTTACATACTTATCTCATGTGTGCATACATTATATACGGTATATTCTGTAACTCATATTCACAAACGTCTTGAATAAAGCTTGTGTGTATTGTACTCTCAGGTTCACACACGCACCAAATTTATTACCTACTTATATTATCTCCAAATAATTACTTGACTCGTGCAGACTGCTCTATGATAATCCTCTTGCCATACGCAACTGTGTCACGGCTGGTGGCTATGGCTTAGGGGAGCTGACGGCTCTAGCGTTCTCTGGAGTTTTCTCGTTTCAGGATGGTGAGTAATGTTTACTTGGAATGATCTCATTGATGGGTTTACACTTATATTATCAGTCTGCTTATGAAATATCGATTGCAAGATTTGATCATCACAGACACGAAAGCGAGCTAAGAAAAACGTGGTAATAAGTTAAATAATTTAACTTTGTCAGCTTTATGTTGAATATGTGGATCCAAATACTGCTGGTCACATCATAATTCCTCATCAGCTGTGCGCGTGTGCCAGTTTCGGGCGTTGGCCATAAGCGCAGCGTGTGAAGGCACCAGCGGGGGCCTGGCAAGCGTCACATACGGTGCGGGGTGCCGCCTTCAGTTGTGTTGTGATGCCGCCGTACAGTTCTGTGCCAGGCAGCAATTGCCTGAAGCTCACTGCTCGGTTGCTGCTCATCATTGGTCCACCTGCAGCGTAATTGCGGCTACTGAAGAGGTCAGTGCGGTGCTTAATGCTCACCGGTATGTGGCAAGTTTTAGAGAAGTAGACTTGAACTTTTATTTTGGTGAGCTTTCCTTTCCCCATGTCACCTTGTCCTTGCCGTGGGGAAGGGCGTGCGTATTGCAGTGACGGCTGGGGCTGTGTTATCGGGGATTCCCTGGCAGAATCAATTCGCAAAAAGGCCCGCCCCGAGTGTTCACTGTTCTGACTAACGGAGGTGACTCCAGGGCAGCTCAGGTTTCTTGCGGTCACTGTGTCCTCGCAACATGGTGATTANTATGCTGTCGAAAAACTACATGAGCATCTCAGCTACTATAATGTACAATTCAACAATCAAATGCAAGCGGCTTGCATGGATCTCACACGGTATGTCCTGACCTTTGCTACGTGTCAGCTCCCAACTAAAGTGAAGGTCAGATGACACCAATGCTCAGTGAAACTGAGCATTGCTGAGCGACCACCGCCGCAACCTGCCGAGCGACCACCGCTATATGCCTCAGATTTTCTGAAGATGCATACAATTTTCCGTGCCTCTGTCCGTCTAAATGCGCCACCGGAATTGAACGACTTGAGGCGTCCTCATCTAATTGATTCCATTTACAAATCGAACTACTTCATCACTCTAAGTCGAACGAACTAAAGTATAGGGACGGCAAGAGTCAGGCGAGTGTTTTTTTTTTTTCATGACATGGCATTACCCAAATTTCCATCCTCTGAGAGAACCGTGGTCCTGATCATTTGCCGGATTCGCGACAGACTCTCGAACGAAGAAGCGGTGAGAGGGCAGCGGCCACTGGACCTGCCCAAAAGTGTGCTCCATACTGATAAAACCTACGAGACTTGAGGCCGAACTATCATAAATAATTCGCAATTCCGGCGCTAATCACTGACGACTTTATAAGCTAAACCCACAAATCACAAGCTAGAAATCAGCCGCAACGTGTACTTAGACCGTTACGTGTAATTTCATTTGTAGCGCATTTTCTCATTTATGAAAAATAGGCGCTATTGTGCTCGCCATGTCCGTCCGCATGTCTGTCCGTGACTTCACGTTTTCGTCTACGAGAAAATGCGCTCTATGTCACTCACTGCAGTGAGTACTGAGTTATTTTTTTCATTGTACGGCCCCAGAACAATGATCAGCAACATTGCCGTGTCGACGACGGACCAATTCGTTGCTCATCCCGTGCTGGCAAGCTCGCTTGCCGCGCACCGAACCTTGACGACATCGATCACCGTTTCGCGTTGCCAGGTGTCCTGGAGACCTGCTGGAATCTGTGGCCCCGCGGTTTTAGAATGCAGCCTGTACTTATTACCTCCTTCTATGTGTCCTCGCTTCTGCTAGAGAAAGCAGGGACATGCAAGTATGCACACCTGGAGTGCCATACTAGCGATTTTATTTTACAACTCGCCGCATACCCTAGTTGTAGCCTTACATAAGGTGGTTGCTCCGATTCTCAGCACGACAAAAGATGCCAACTTTTGCTCAGCCCCTGGCCATGTTCATAGTGCGATGAATCGATGAAGTCGTGGATGAGCTGTCGACTAGCGCAGCTGCTGAGATGACATCACGCTGATCCCCACGAATATCGTTACTCTATTTGCGGCACGAAAATGCTTGATGAACGACAAGAAGAGGAAAGAATAAACTCCGTGAAAATATTGAAGAGAGTGTGCAGCCATTACCGTCCTCGTCTTACCGCGTACCGAGTGGACGTTTTCCTAACGTCGCCTCCGTAGACACAGCAGTCACCCTTAGTCAGCTCACGGGACGAGCGTCTCTTTCTTACTGCACGAACTTCCAAGTGCCCAAGGTCGTGATTAATTTCCTCTATGAATGCTTGTCTTTTGGTTACGCCAGACGACAGTTTTTATTCATCGATGGGAAGTATTTTGTATTTTATCAACACCTGACTGAACGTGGTGCTTGTAACGTTGACCTCCTTATGCAATTCCTAATAGTGTGCCGTTGATAATTACGAATATGATTTCTTGAGCACTGGATTAATGGATTATTTTTTATTAACTAGCCTGCAACACTCAACTTCATTTTCTGCGCGAGACAAATCGATCTGAAGCGCTAATAATTGCAGCCAGTGAACTAACTATCAATTAAATGGTGGGTCATTCGTTCGTCACATACGTTCTGTGTCTATAAAGTTCGTTATTGATTTGAGTCCTTATGTTTTTCCCCCTTGGTTTTGCATGAGTCCAGGCTCTGGAGTTCCTGGAGAAATACCAACAAGACCTGCGCCTGAAGAGTGTACGTCGCCTCGCATCAGTCCCTGGTCCGCTACACTCGCCGCTGCTGCGCCCTGCCTCTGACGCCCTAGCTAAGGTGAGCCTTAGCCTGATCAGTACCGTGACATAATAAATTCTTATCGTGATCACTACCGTGACATAATAAATTCTTATCCTGATCACTACCGTGACATAATAAATTCTTATCCTGATCAGTACCGTGACATAATAAATTCTTATCCTGATCACTACCGTGACATAATAAATTCTTATCCTGATCAGTACCGTGACGTAATAAATCCTTACAATAATATAATAATAATAAATAATAATAGTAAATCTATATCCTGATCAGTACCGTAACATAATACAACCCTACAGTACATGCTATGCTCTACAACTTGTGAATTTGCTCTTTTGATACAAATAATCAACCTTGAATTGTTATTTTATAAACAGATGGCATCCAAGAAATCAACCTCGAATGATTACGGCATTTTCTAAACAAAAGACAAATGTTAACAGTTGCTGACATAAGTATTTATGGTAGTTAGTAGCGATTTTGAGCTTGTTTACCCATTTGGGGCTGTATTTTAGAGCATTGCCTCGTGCAAATTTTTTCCCCAGTGTTAATCTCTTAAAAAATTCTATATTATATGAACTTTAGCTCTGTAACCGTGTTGAAAGAATTTCACGGTCGGAAAAGTAAATACGGCATGTCTTGTGTTTCCATCAAAAATGTTTAGATGCTAAATTTCAATTTATGCTTCAGTTAGTTTTTGAGTTGATTGGCGCTGACTAAAATATTAAAATAATTGAATTAAAATTGTTTGAAAGCATAAAATCATAAAAAATGAATTTATTTTCAGATGCTGTCTGGGATGAGTTTGAAAGACCCCATAGTGCCTGTAGTCTCAGCGTGCGACGTCAAATATTACACGAGAGCTGATCACGTGCTGAAGAAGCTGCCTGCTCAGCTCAAGTCTGCCATCAAGTGGCAGCACACAATAAACAAGCTCTACACGCGTAAATCTGGCCGAGGCTTCCCACAAACTTACATCTGTGGGCCTGGACAAACCATGAGTATACTTGTATACTTCAATGAGGTCACCGCGCAGGCGACGATAACGGAGACTGGGAAGCTTCATAATCTTCAATCTTTCTTCATAAGACTTGCCCTTTAATCCTGGGATTATCCTTGTTGCACGTCTTTGAACACTCAACTAAATTTTTGTCCTTTTCAAGTTTCGGTGACCACACAACGTTTCCAAACTCTAGGTTCGGTCGCACGATAGAGGTGAACAACAGCTTCATCATTTCTATATCTAGGTACTCTTAGGAGCGTCTGATCAGCCCAAGCAGTTTATTGGATGTATTAACTTGCGTTTTAATATGCCTATAAAATTTTAGCTCCTTGTCGACACAAACTCCAAGATCTTTTTCCACGCAAGACTTCTCAATCATAGCCCTCTCGTTGCAACCATGTCTTCTCATGCTGTAAGCTTGCTGTTCATTGTTCTTGCCGAGGTGAAGTACTTTACACTGGTCAGCATTGAAACGCAGCTGCTACGAATCAGCCCAGTAAACTAAACTATCAAGATCATTTTGCAGTTGCATTTTATTTGACGCATCCTTAACTGTATTTATAAACTTTTGTGTCATCGGCATACATGGAGCACACGCTTGACACTACTTCTGGTAGATTGTTTATGAAAGCGACGAACAGTGAGTCCCACTGTAACAAATAATTCAGTGGGACTCACCGCTGACTTGATGATCAAAGTCGCGATTAGAGGTAAGAAGCAAAACTCTTACATTGTTGTTGAAAATAAAAGGCTGCTGCATGGTATAATTCACGTTTGAATAATATAAATGGTCGGTTCTTCATTCATTTAAAAACGGTCTGAATTAAAAGAACGTTTTCAAGGCAAAATTTATTGATGATGATGAATGGTTCCACATCTATGCATTAACCTGCTGCAAGGCATTAACACAAGTAAATTCACGAATTCATACATTTGAATTCAAGGGTTCCATTAACACTGAATTCGTATCACAATTCACAACGCAAGTTGAACTTGTGTGCGGATCTTGCTCACATTTCATGACTTAAGCTACCTGCTTCATTGAAATAACACAATTAAATTCATAAATTCTCACATTTTTAATTTAAGGCGTTTCATTAACACGGAATTCGTATCACAATTCACAACACAAGTTGAACTGAGCGATTATTGTGCCAAACTTGCACAGACCTGTACTAGTGTAAATTATGTTGTGGCGAAGCTGTCAATCTGAACTAGCCCACTAGTAGAGCGAGCAAGCGACAGGCAGGAACCATCATAAACAGAAGAGTTATGGGCTTCTCAATTATTAAAATTGGTATCCATCATAAGCTAATCGGAACACTCTCCTAAGATCAACAGGAAAAAGCAATAATTGTAGAGGCGTAAATTTCCTAAGTCTTGAGAGCCCGATACAATAAGGATATGTATCCACTGAAAATATCTATATGCATGATCCAGGTACAGAGCCAGGTTCTCGGATCCCGCGCTACAGGGATCATCATATGACGGTACTGTGGATCTCATCCATCTAAGGAAACGACTAAAATCCGTTAAAAATCCACTAATAAAACCATGAAAAAACGCAATATTGTTGCTAATAACCAGTTGTATCGCAAGCATCCTTCATCCGTAACTACTAAAAAAATTTTGAATTCTGCATGAACAAGACTACCTAATCGGTGATCAATCTCAGAAAATTTTTTTAAACGAAAGGGTTTTTCGTGTTCATTATCGATAATTTATTTTTCAGAATAAAACTTCGGTGTGGCGAGTGTTTCGCTCTATAATTCCAATGCCCGAAACGGATAACATCATGAAAGATACAAATTAATAGAATTTGGCAGAGAAGATCGGAAATAATAATTTCTGTTCAGTAGTGCGACAAATTCACCTTTCCAGTGATTGTTAGGTATTCGTTCTGAAATAGAGCATCTGCCATCCCTGTGTACAGCCTCCTAGTGCAACGGGCCAATTTTAATTATTATTACTCGCATTAACATGACTAACCCAAACTCGGTTCCTTATGATGCAAAGCAACCGTTCGCAATACAAAAGGCATATAGATTACGGACGAAAGGTGTGATCCCTTATCATTCCGTGTATACGAACCTTTCCGGCTATCAGCTTCGCATTTGCATGTACAACCACTGATAAAACAACATATCTTAAAGCTAAACATATATTCAAAACTCCGAATACATCGCCATTGTACTTCTGGACGGCTTTCGATTTAAAGGCATCTAAAACACAGCAATATCAATGCTGAATATTCCGGGCATCCTTTCCTCTAACTTCAATAAATTCTCAAAGTATTAGAATATGTGCGACGAAATCAACAATGGACTCGTTAAATATCTATGAAGCACCACAAGTGTCTACTGAGAACAATTCGTTTCAAATCTCGATGATACAGTTCATGGTTGATCTAGTATATACTTATAGTTCAACTTTGGATACAGTTGGCGCGTTTACACATCGCTGTCTGCAAAAGACGTGCCGGATCAGCAAAGTTGTTGCTTCTCAAGATGAACATTTCAGAAGCCAGTTGATAAGCATAAGGCAACTATTGCATAGTTTACGAGGACTTTCAGTAGTTTCAGTTGACTCATGCACTCTTTCAATGTTGCATTCATAACAAACATCACAACGATTCTTGAGGACCTATAATCTCGTCATGATAACGCGGTCTGTTCAACTGGAACTGATGAGCTGCACAAGACTTTTCCCTAATATAATAGATGAAACGTGCTTGCTTTGCTTTTAAACTAGTTACACACGCTTAAAATAATATAATTGAATATTACATGCATTGCCTATATTTATAAGATACACACGTTGTTCCTTGCATCTAACAGATCTGGACGTAACAATCAATAGACTTTAATTAAATTATCAATGCTGTAACATCACATGTATAATTGCACAATATTATTGTCACACCAAACGGCAATGTTACAGTAGATGCATATTGCACTCTAAGTTTTATTATTATATTCATAGGATATTAGCAACGCAGTACCATTGCTTCATTGCTTTACGTTAAAAAAAGGCGATTTATTTTTGCTCAGACACTGATAAACAAGTATTAAGCTTATTATTGCGATGCAGATTTTGAGAACTAGTTGAGGGTTTAGACATTTTCAATTTCAGATGAAAAATAACGAGGAAAGTTTGTGCAATGGTTATGCTTTGCGGCATAAAATACGGATTGTTTTTAATCGTACGGCAACTGATCTAATCACCCGACAATTAAATTAAATGCTCCACTCGACTCAAGCTTTAGAAAGTTATTTGGTTTCATATCTGGTTTCATAACATGATATCTAGTCGATACCGGAAACTTTTAAAAATACAATAATAGGGTAAACAATAAACCCGAATTTGATTCATTAGTTACTACAATGCACAATGTCAGACGACACCGCTCATTTTTTTTGGACGATTTTTACTAATATCCTAGCAGTCAAGAATCCTTCATTTCCTTCGACCAACACAGGGCTCTTTTGGGTGTTGAACGGGGAAGATGTTTCCTCTCGCGCTCAAATCAAAACAATTGTCAATAATTTTAAAATTGGTAACGAATAAAGCAAATACTTCATTTTAAATTTTTTCACAGTCAATTTCCTTTATGTTGTGACCAACATAGGAGAACGCATATTCAATTCTGAACTGAATCATTGTGTTGCTATTGACAAGAGTGACAAGACTAAACAATAGCCAAGCATTACATCACTCGCGAAAGAGAATAATTTCTTTGTTTTTTTTTTTTTGATGACATATTCAATTCACCTAGCGTTAGAGGAGCCCAGTTTGGTATCGTTAGACACTAAACCATGTCTCACTCAAGACATATACAACAGGGATGCCATATCTCAAGTTGATTGCTGTGCTAGTGTTGAGGCATCAAAGGTCTCACCCGCGACATTTGCAGGAGGCATAGGTACGATATCTCAAATTAATCGTTGTAGTACCGGTAGGTATGGCATGTGACGTGTAACTTCAGATGTTAGAACTAAACGTACCACAGCTAAGTGTGGTATCCATAGTGGCGTTCGACATCACGGTTGCGTCCGACGGACTTTCAGGAGACGAAGGTCTCCTGTTAGAACGATCCTCAATGTTGCTCATCCTGATTCTACCGCGACTAAAGGAAGACTGTTCGTTACCTTCTGGCAATGCTGAATTGTATTTTATTTGTGCCGGCGGCGATGCGAGTGTTGAACCAACTTTGCTCTGAGAAATTAAGGCGCCAGCACTCAATGGCGTGGCCTCGGACCCATACGAGACCCGGGACTGCGTGGGACTAACGGCCAGAGTACTGGTGGAGCAGCCGTAGTTGTAGTAGGCGTGTGAGGATCCTTGGTCGTAGGAGGAGTTAGGGTCGCAGTCTATGGTGGAGTCCGCGCCTACGTCGGCCGTGCACGAAGATTCCGACGGATGCCGGAGACGCAGGTTGCTGATGACGCTGACATCTGGAGGTGGGGGATCAGGAGGCGCCCTTGCCAACTGGCTTTCCTAAAGGAGTAAATGCGTTATTTTAACATTTATTGATTCGTATTGTTGAACCTTTAGAACTTACACTTGATTTGTATTGCAGCAATGGCGAATTCTAAAATATAGAAAGCAGAGAACCAGTAAGTTGGCGTAGATTTTTATTCCGGTAAAGACAAATTACAGGATATTGTGGGCAAATAACCATTCAAGAAATCCAAGATATAAATTATTTGTGTTACTGTGTTTTGTTTAATAGAATCATCCCCACTCAGGTAAGTATATTCATCGAGCTTGTGATTCAGTTTTAAGTGACAACGATTTATCGTTAAAAACCAAAATAAATTTTTTCTCAAATGTACTTTTCGACCGTCACAAATGGCGATCTTATAACATCTCGTACATCAAGACATCAAATAACATACAATCAGCCCCGCCACCTCACAACATCAGCCCCACCACCTCACAACATCAGCCCCGCCACCTCACAACATCAGCCCCGCCACCTCACAACATCAGCCTCGCCACCTCACAACCACCACCTCACAACATCAGCCACGCCACCTCACAACACTAGTCCCCGCCACCTTGGCTTGTGTGTTGACCGCCACATCGTTGGCGATGACGGTGGCGGGGGCGGCGGTGGCGGTGGCGGGCTCCTCCTGTAGAGGTTGTCGGCGCGAGGGCTTGTCAATAGGTGAACCTCCTCCTGAGGGACGGCTCTTTTTACTGCTGTTATTTCTCTTCTTTTTACTCTTAGTGTTGTAAGAAGAACAGCACGCTGGCACTAAAGAGCTCTTGATCTTGTGTCGGTAGACCAGCAATGGTATTCCTACGAGGACCACACAGAACAGCAACACTGTCACCACGAGCAGCGAGTCTACCGTCACCTGAAGCGACTTCACTTTGCTCTCCAGTGTCTGTAAGCCTGCAATAATACGCATTATTTTGAAGACAATAGCATGCGAAAACTAATTATTAATTCATTCAAACATTGACTTTGTATTACGTGGTATCATGCAGATAGTTGAAAAATATCTTGCAAGCATGTATCTTTGTATTATCCTCTATCTTGCACGAAAATTATTCGACGCAAGAATCGATTTTTTATTAGCTTGTATGATGTGTGTAAAAAAATCGAAGCAAGCAAAGGATTTTTGTATTATATTAGGTACATACTAGAGGCAAAAATAATTTCATGCAAGCACTTATTTTTATTCTACCCTTTGACAAGCAAATAAAGATAATTAAATTTTGAACATGTATTTCTATATTTTCTTACCAACGTTGGGATCATGGAACTTCAGAATTGCGTAAAAAAAGCTAAATTGATAAGCTGGTTTAAATTAAAGGTTAGATACTCACGAGCGTTGTCCTGAGGCTTCGGGTTGGTGACTTCCTTGTAATCTGTAACAAAAAAACGGCAATATAACTTCAAAATTCGACTTTATTCCTACAAAATTTATAAGCTTCACAGGCTGAACAGCTATGCACAATAATATTTAGGTATAAGCGATGTTTATGTCAATACAAAGTTCCCCGAAATTCAGATGTAATTCGACATCGAAGCGCGACAAGAATTTACGATGACGTTATATGGGGAAGATAATCTAAAGTGCGTGGATAATAAAGACATGAAGTGCGTGGATGATGAAGACATGAAGTGCGTGGATGATGAAGACATGAAGTGCGTGGATGATGAAGACTTGATGTGCGTGGATGATAAAGACGTGAAGTGCGTGGATGATAAAGACGTGATGTGCGTGGATGATAAAGACGTGAAGTGCGTGGATGATAAAGACGTGATGTGCGTGGATGATAAAGACGTGATGTGCGTGGATGATAAAGACATGAAGTGCGTGGATGATAAAGACTTGATGTACGTGGATGATAAAGACAAGAAGTGCGTGGATGATAAAGACATGCAGTGCGTGGATGATGAAGACATGCAGTGCGTGGACGATAAAGACATGCAGTGAGTGGATGATAAAGACATGCAGTGCGTGGATGATAAAGACATGCAGGGCGTGGATGATAAAGACATGCAATGCGTGGATGATAAAGACATGCAATGTGTGGATGATAAAGACATGCAGTGCGTGGATGATGAAGACATGCAGTGCGTGGACGATAAAGACATGCAGTGCGTGGACGATAAAGACATGCAGTGCGTGGATGATAAAGACATGCAGGGCGTGGATGATAAAGACATGCAGGGCGTGGATGATAAAGACATGCAATGCGTGGATGATAAAGACATGCAGGGCGTGGATGATAAAGACATGCAGTGCGTGGCTGATAAAGACATGCAGTGCGTGGCTGATAAAGACATGCAGTGCGTGGCTGATAAAGACATGCAATGTGTGGATGATAAAGACTATGCCGCCTGCCCAGCGTCGTGGAGCGTCTGGCGCAGTAAGGCGGCGCTGAGTCATGCGCCCTCCAGCACAACACCTGCACGCAGCTGCGGCAACACGCAGTGTGTGCAGCTGCGGCCACACGCTGCGTGTGCAGCTGCGGCCACACGCTGCGTGTACAGCTGCGGCCACACGCAGCGTGTGCAGCTGCGGCCACACGCTGCGTGTGCAGCTGCGGCCACACGCTGCGTGTACAGCTGCGGCCACACGCTGCGTGTGCAGCTGCGGCCACACGCAGCGTGTGCAGCTGCGTCCACACGCACACGCACTCTTTCTCGCTCACCCCAACAGTACTGCACCGCAGTCTCTCACCCCAACATTAGTACCACCTATCAGGGCAATTGACAAACATCGTTGACTAACAACATTTTAATTTTCGTCTTAACAACATTTAATCAACGTTATATCAACGTCATATGGAAGACAGTTCCTCACTCGGGCAGAGACGGGTACACTCCTGCGGCAGGTAGTCGTGCAGGTTGGTGGAGTCGCAGATGACGCTGCAGTTCCAGCTCCTGAAGACGCCCGCACCCTGGCCCCCTGAAGGCAAGGGGCTGGTGGCGGTCTCTGGGACCACGACGAGGAGCGTATATAGTATCATTATTGTTCGCAAGTCATACTCGAGCGTGAGTGGAGTCGTGAGGTGCATGGTATCGTTCTTATATTCTCATGTGATGGAAAATAATTTAGAAACGTATCTGCACTTAGGCAAGAGAGTTGTTTCAGATTTGAGCAAGATGTTCTTATCAGAGTTTGAGCACATTTTTTTTTCAAAAAGTACTGCACCGATTTCTTCTTTCTTGTAAAAATACACTTATTCCACGACAAATAAATACATTCATCGCTCACGTGGTGAAGTTGCACTCGTTTTCACGATTTAGAAGTGTAAGCATCTCTCACGGCCTAAAATAGCATTAATTTCTCTTGACTCTTAACTGCACCCATTTTCACGACTAACATTTATCTAAGGTAACGAAATTATCTGGCTAATATATTTTAAATGACCTAGACATGGCATTTTTGCGATCTTAGGCAAGATGCAAAAGAATAATCTAAACATTGTGCAGAATATTTCCCGACGTTGAAAAATTTCCTTCTGCTCAGGTCAGAGGCACGAGTAATAAATATTTCATATCTGAAAAAGCTAAAGAAACAAGTCATCACCACCCAATTATCTAAATTTCGGTAGCGTTATTTTTCAGTTCAAGTTATTGTGCTTAGCCCTATTAGAAAGGTTAACTTTCTATTGTCAATGTAGGATTAATTCATCAGCTTTAAGTCATACTCGTCGCTGCATACTCCGTGGCGCTAGTATATGCAGCACATGTACGTAGCATTATGTAGCACAGGTCAAGAAGGTACTGTGGTCAATATATATATATATATAAGGGATCGCAATGTCTAGCGCATTCCAGTAAATTTGTGAGCATTGATGACGTTTTTGCAAAGACAGTAATAAATTTCATCAAAATCATTTGCCAATCCAGGCTTGTTGCTCATTGGTACCAAGTCACGTCTCAGTTGTCAACAAAACAATGCATTGATTTTTGTATCAAGACAATTCGGTGTGACTCGCTGCGAAGGCTAATATTTTGTAGTAAAGTCAAAACAACAATTTTTTATTCTTAGCGAACAATGGAGGTCATAATTCTAAATTGAAATTAAACCTAATAAGGAACCTTGAGATCACTGTCAAACGCATGCGATGGCATGCAGGATTCTTGGAATCGGCACCTCGTAAAAACATGATGAAGTCAGGTCACCAGTATTAAAAGTTGTTTATAATATGCCTAAAGTAGGAACCATAACTATACGCGATGCATTTCTTTTATTAGTTACAAAATTACACAGTCTAGCTACGTAAACAACAGGATTTCACTGATGGTGGACGACGCGCACTCACTTAGCTGGCTGTTAAAACACTGGCGACTGGCAAGTTTGGGACCTGGTGGCTGGAATTCCACTAACGACCTATTCCGGTACAGGTGCGAAGCTTGCGTTCACGGCGTGGTGGAACCACGCGTTCATGAGGGCTAATTTGAACGCGGCATTCAATAAATAAGTTTATGATAGATCATCGGAAAATATTAACCTTGAGCATTAGATAATTTAGTGCTAGATGATTCATTTTATCAGACGAGGCCTATTTAAAATGCTATAAAACTAAACCCAAATTTATTTCTACAACATTTTATTCATCGTTTTTTTAACAATAGTTTGAATGTTATTTGCAGCCTTACATCGTGAGCCTATCAAATAAATTTCTCCAGGCTGTTCGTTACTGAGCCAATGACGCAATTAAAATCTTATGAAACTTGTGACGTTTATTGGAAGGAACTCTAGAGGGATTACGGAGATGTATAATCTGCAAGGACCCATCATGACCCGCTGCATGATCTGATGCAACAGTACTGTACGTCACAGTACGTGATGTGCTTTACAACAGCAAGCTCCACGAATCTAGGATCAACATTGGGACCTACATTCGTGCTAAAAAAATTAAAATGTTTTCTATGAAACCAAAGGATTACATTGGACAAAGCTCGCAAAAAAATTATATCCATTGATTTACAGTAACGAATCCAATTGTTATAGTACGTATAAACAGTAATCATCGTGACTATTCTTAACCAAATTCGTTTATGTACTTCTGCACAACTTTTAGAGGGATCTCTTGATGTTACATAAGTTATCTGCATCTATTATATACAACACAATAATTTCTTATTACCTAAAAATGTCACTAAGACCATTCAAACAGCATTCCGACGGATGGAAAAAAAAACTGCCCTCGAAATAAAAGATTTTCCTGTTGCTGGTGAAATTGATTTCTCGGTTGCAGGTATAGTGATTAGAATTAGTTTGTAAACATCGGGGGCTTAGCTAAAAGTACTCGTCGGTGAGAAAAAAACGAATGACTAGCAAATAAGATTTTTAGTTGGAAAATGATTTTTCACCTATTGACAGGTTCATGCGGGCGGTTTGCTGCGTCGATTAATGGGATCACAGTCTTTTATTCCAGATGCAAATAACAGAAAAAATTTAAAAATATTTCTGACTAAAAAGTTAAACATTGAAAATGAAGATAATTGTGCATCAAAGTAGTAGAGAAACTAACAATGTCCTGGGTCGTATAACCAGAAAATCGAATACATCAGCGATGACTTCGGCTTAGAAGGTTGTTACCAAAAAATAGCCGATTTTTCATAAGTTGATTATATAGCACCTCTTTTCTAACTGTGCAATGGAATATTGAAGAAAGGTTATTTTGGCCATTTTAGTGCGTGTTATAGTATCCATTTAGCGTTATAACCAAAATGTAAACTTTCACTGCTGACCAAGACTCGTTAGAAGAATCGGAGACAAAAATTGCGCTCACTGGTGAACAAACAAACGTGGTGTGTCGTCTGAGAACGACTTATGGTTGTGGTAAAGCTTCAGGTAGATTTTGTGTTGGCTGAACGCTGAAGTGAAATGCGCCTTCTAAATATCGTTCAATTCGTTTTGCTTAGTCATAGTAGTTTCGAATGAATATTTGGTTTTATTTTGCTGCTCCTCTTCAGTATTACGATTCACGGTATCGTCTTAATTGCTTGGCGAAATTTCTACGCCGCTGCATCTGCAGAGTGAGGATTGGTGTGATGGTGTCCACATAGACATAGGTACACAACACAAGAGAAATTGTCAACAAATTGGTAAAATTGCCTGATAATTAATGTTCATTCCTTGATGTTGTGTATCCTACTATGAGCAAATAACTTTACCATAAATACAATAAAATGAATAAATAACTCGGAAAATAGCTATATAATATATATTGCTTGAAAATAGCTATACCTAGCTACCTACTAAACTGAATTTCAGAGCTAGGTAGAAGCCTTCTTCAAATAATTTAATAGAGGTCCAAATGGAAAATTGAGTATAGAAGCTAGTTTCAGCTAGAGCTAATGCAGAATTAAAATTTTTCTGTTTGTTAATTAAATTTTGTGGCTTGCTGGCTCCAAAGTGACTAGTCTGGAAAAGTCCTATTTTTGTCTGAAATATCGCGGCTCGAATGTCATAAATTTTTGTTTGATTAAAAAATCGCGGTTTGCACTTCGCAAACATGTCATTTCATAAAATTTTCAACTTCCGCAATCCGCATAGCTCGTAGAAATGGAATCACGGCTGGCAAATCCATAAAACCACGGCTCGAAAAATTCAGTCGCGGCTCGCCAAGTAGATATATTCCATACTAGCAAAGTGACAAATTTTCTAGGATTCAAATTTCAAAATCTTGCTGCTTTATTGTTCTCCTTTGTACATAATTTGTTGATAATCAGATAGGACTTGATAGGTGATCAGGGTGCAGACTGTGCAGAAAGTGGGTGAATATAGCATAGTGGCGAAGCAGAGAGTTTTTTAGACTCTGTCTCAAGTTCATTTTTGAGTCCTATAAGTAGACCATTAAAGTATCATGGATACCAGTATTAGCTTACTTAAGAAATTGGTTAAAATCTTGAGTAAATGAGGAAATTAATAATGAACTGATTCTAAAAAAGCTCTGGGGCCGGATTATCAAAACTTCGTAACTTTTTGTACTTACGACAAAAAAATTCTGTGGTACGTAAATACACCCTAAATTTGGCACTATCAAAACTTTTGTACGCAAGTATTAGCTAAAAGCCTAAATTTTTTTCCCTCACAAAATTTTCCCGCGCAAATGTTTCTATAATACCACCACTAGTATTACGTTGTCATAGCAACGCCACTCGTAAGTCGATTTTGCGTACTTACAAAGTTTTGATAATACGGCCCCTGGTTTGCCACTATGGAATATAGGGTAAACACACCATACCTAGGGTAAACGCGGTATATTCCGACACATTAAGGACGCAACAAGAAATGAAAAACTATAAAAAAAACGTATGTGTTACGTAAGTTCTGTTGCCTTCACATGACTCTCAAAACACTTCACTACGGCACTACGCGTCAGCAACGATGAAACGTCAAGCATGGAACTAAAACAAAGCTTAATATAAAGGAAAAGCTGGAGAGGTGACGGAATTACCTACGATGTCGGAATATACCGCGTTTACCCTACCTATTCTGATATTCTGACACCTTAAGGCTTAAGGACGAAGCAAGAAATAATTTCCAATAAATGGCTATAAATAGATCACCGTATGCGCAACTTGAGCTCATTGGTTTACGTCTTTCTCAAGTCTCAAAACACCACACTTCGCGCCAGCAATGTTGAAACGTCACAAACTGTTGCCATATTTATTTAAAGGCCTTTAGAATTCAAATCTACAAAATTGCTGAATTCCCACACGACACGTGTGTGACTAAATGCAGCATATTGCAAGACTAATTCCGACAGTGCTTCAAAATTGTAATTCGTAATTCCAACGCCCTGTGTTGGAATTCCAATAGGGCCTACCCTCCATGGTCAGGAAGATGTGCCAGGTGCGCGGGAATTTATTTTGTCATTTTAACAACCTGCGCGGTGCGCCATACTACGTTGGTAAAAATTTGCGCCGTGTGCCGTACTTTAGAGAGCTAAAATAGTTCTACTATTTTAGTCGACAATATACGCGAGTATATTGACTATGCGAGTCGAACTGACAATAATAAAATGTAAGACATGTCCGGGTTACTTCTGACTCTTCCGGTTGTCNACAAGCGCTGTCTCTTATACACATCAGGTTGGAAGACAGAGGAAAAAACTTTATAGGACTTGAAGCCATAAAAATGCCGGTAGGCTAAACTTTGCAGGTTGCCTAAAAATTCAGGACGATTAGGAGTTGGAACATTCTTAATGCTAAGAGCGAGTCTTTCAAAAGCTAAGAAAAATTTATAGAAGTTCAACTTAAAAACGGGTAGACAAAAATCAAGGCCAAATGCGAGCAAAAATTTAACGCGAGGTTCCAAGTTGACGGAACTAAAGTTGAAAACAACTTTGTCAGGGTTGACAGGATGAATTTCATTGTGGATGCCGAGGTTATGAAGTTTCTTTTGATGAGTCTGAGCAGTAATTTTCTTGAATGCTTCCGTAGATCGTCTGGCATGTTGGCGTATAGCATAGGCGTCGAGGGTGGAAAACAAACGTCCAACTTGTAGTTCACTCTTGGCTGCCAAATCAGTTAAAATTTTCAGAGTCTTTCTTTTGGAGGATAATTCTTTGGAAAGAAGCTTGCTCTGCCAGGATTTATAAAAAGTGGAGGTATGCAGGCAACGCTTGTAAAGTTTAAATTGAAGGAATTTAGGAAAAACACCGTAAACTTTGCACTTCACCAGAAAATCAATATCTAATGTAGTCTTTGCTCTCTTTCGAAGATGATCACAGTATTTTCTGAAACAGTGGCCACCATCCTCGCCATATTTTGCTCGTATTAACCCATCAATGCCGAGCGGTTCCATTTGGAACCAGCGGGAAAAATTGATTTATTTTAAAATTGAATGATCAAATAAATATAGAAGTGGATGCGTAGGTTTGACACGCATCTTGTACATGTTCTGGCAAAGTTTGGTTCTGCTGCACCGACTACTCCCTGTTCAGTTGACATTCAAAGATTATAAGAACCAAGTGTCAGATAAGACGG